GTCAGTCCTGAAGTCTCTGGGCACTCCTGGTGAGATCCATCTTGAAGCCTTGTTGGTGAGTTTCACATATGTTGCTTGTACAATCTACTGTTTTAGGTGAGCACTTTGGGTTCCTTTCTTTCTATCTTGCTGGCCAGAGACCCACTTAGAAAGCCCCTAGGATCATCCATAGTATGGTACCTGAGTCAGATACAAGAGCACGTGGCTTTTTCTGGGATGCATTAAAGGAGCTCATCCTCAAGATGGCCTAAACCAGTCTCCTGCCTCCAGTTGAACAGCCTGAGGCAAAAATGAGTTGATTGCAAATGTTCAGAGTAACTGCTTTTAAATTTTATTTATTCTTTATCTGAAGTCAGTGTTTACTGTCTGTTCTGTTGCCTCTGATTTGTGTTATGCTAATAAATTATGCAAGGGAAACCCTGCTGATTTCATATGTAAAGGCATCTCCCTCTGTAAGAAACATTAAATATTAGTCTTCTCTTTCAAAACCTGTAATACTAAAAACTTGGTTTTTGACAAGAAATTCTAATCTTTTAATTCCAACACCCCTTGTAAGACTTTTGTTTAAAGGAAGGCCCTGATGCATTGCTGAACCTGATGTTTAGGGCAGCTGAGCTCCTCTTTCTTTAAGCAAATTATTTTAAACTGCATCAGACTGACCAAGCAGTGCACCCTTGTGTGTAAGGAAAATCTTCCTTGGCACGTTACTTTTGATTTGTCCGTGTGCTCTCTGTGAGGAATTGATAGGGTTCTAAGAACTCTGGTTTTATTTCTAACACCCTTAAGTTTCTTAGCTCTTCAAAACTGAAAGAGACGCTACCTTAAATCTACATGGGAAACTTAACTGTTTCTTTTTGGCCACTGAGGTTTTTTAAACATTACAAAGCTAGACATACAAGCCTTTCGCCTTCTCCTCCTCTTTGGTGCAACTAGATTTTATGTGATTGTGTATGTGTGGCTATGATAATTGTTTTTGTATATTGTTTGTGTGAAGACAATTTTTCACCTGTAGCTTCTTTAGTGTTTTTTCTCCTTTCTCAATGTTTTATTGTGCACAAGAAATGTTGGTTTTATTTTTGGCATGCCTAATCAAAATACACACATACAAATGTATAAGTATAAATATTTTGATCATACATTAAAAGGCCTTATGAACTTGGATAATCTACTTTAAATCTATTAAACAGTGTTTCTAGGTCTATTATTTCACAAAACTTTCAAATGCTAATTGCTTATAAAAACAGCATCTAAGTTGGTTGTGTAAAAATTCTATTTGTTAAACACCTTTCTTTGGGTTTAGTTTGCTTTTAAGATGTTTTAAGGTATCCATTTTTTTTGGTACACTCCAAAGGTATCTTGATTTAAAAATAACAAAAATCATAATCTCAACAAAGAATAATGACAAAATCTTAGTCACTAATATCTATCTCATATATAGTTAGATATGTGCATGAGACCAACCTGAGTTTATGTTTCTTAAAATTAATTTACTTGGTACTAAATTGACTTGTAAGTAAAGTCTCATACAAACTAAAACTGTTACACTAACCCAAAAATATTTTTTCAGGTCAAAACGTTACCTTTTTAATCCTTATCTACAGCATGGTTCCTATTACTCAAATATATAAATTAATTGTAAATACTTCTCTCTTTCTCTCTCTCTGTTTCTCCATCTCTTTCTATATATATATAATATAAAGGTAAATATTAATTATTATTTGCTTAGTAAAAACCTCACAACAAATGGTAAATTTCTTTGTGAATGTTATGAAGCAAGTTTATTGAAGGTCTGAGCAGGTCTATAGAAATACCGGAGTGTTATAGTAATTATTGTTACCATCAAATTTTCAGTCCACTCCTCTGGCTTCTACTGCACATCCAGTTACAGTCTTGGATTAAGTGGATGCAGACATGTATTGGGTTACCTATGGCTACTGAAAGATATCCTTTATGTGTTTCTCTGTATTACACAAGTGTTACTTTTGGTATTTTCTTTTGGCCATAACAAGATAATTAGACTCAAGAGAAACTAGGTTTTACCTCCATTAACCAGATGTATATAGTACAGAAGCAAACAGTTTCAGTGAGTTTGGTCTGAAACTTGATCATCTTATTTCTTGTCTACAGGTACGTGATGTGACCTCCCCCCCAACTTCCTTCTGAAAAACTGTAAATAAGCCTGGGAAAGAAAGAAGACTGCTTATGTTTGTAGTAGAATAGCCTTTATTTGAGAAAGACCTAAGAAAAGTATTTTAAGTGCCTACTTCACATGTGATGTTAAGTCTTTTCCTAACTTAGGCCCACTCTTCCTACATTATCTAGAGAGCCCTCTATGTAACTAGATCTACTAAATAATCTTAAATTTCCTACGGTCAAACTTCAGTCAAACCTTAAAATAACTCTTATAAGGACTAACTTAAGGAACAAACTATATTTCTAGTCAAGATTAAGAATGTATGGTTTTTGCTCAACTTTATCGACATAATACATGATAATTAAAGTGCCAGACTGATGTAACTAACATTCTTGGGTGTCTAATAACCATACTTTGAGGTCTATAATAATCTGGTTAGAGGGACTTAAAGGTAAAATTTTTTGTTCCTTGAAATCCAAGGTCGACTAAGTCCCAGGGGACTATGGGACATCTCTCAAAATGTCCTGGAACTGTCCTCCTGTTCAGGGAAGCCATGGAGACCCCACTAGAAGAACTCAAACCAGTGTCCAGTCTACAAAGAGGAGGGTCAACACAGAGGAAAAGTTTTCTTCATGGTGGAGCAGGACCTTCTGACTTATCTTCACATAGATGGAACTGGTAAAAAGAAAGGCTTAAGGAGCTAGAGGCTCCTCCCAAGCTTCCATATGACCCCTGAGGAACAGATCCTCAACTGTCCTTAAAAGTAAAGATAAATTGGTTTATTTGTGTCAAACGCATGTTCTTAAAATCCAACAATAAAGTATAACCAAATATTAAAATGATTGGTGTATTTCTTTAAGAGCCCGAAGGACTGTATTTCCCAGACATTAGGCTTTAAGTTCGTATTTATTTAGACAGTTTTTTACGAATGATTTTGTCCTTAACAAGAAAATGCTGCTCAGGTATAAGACTTTAAATCCTAGCCTAATCTACTCTGAAGTACCTATTTGCAGCCAAAAAGAAAAATCCAGTATTGTTCTTACGTTTAATTTAAGATTTAAATGATGGATAAATTTCTTCTCTCTCCCTGTCTAGAGGTCATTTGAAAAGGAACTCACACTGTGATTCTAGCCACTCCAACAACCATCAGAGTGCCTGAAAAGCAAATTCTGAGTCTAGTCATGGCAACTAAAAGAAAAACAGAGAGAAACCACAGATGGATTCTTTTGGAATCCCTCATCAAGAAACAATTATTGGAACATTTAAAATTCACCCTGTTCTGACTTCTGGTTCCCTGTCTAGGATTTGTGCCTAACTACTCTTACCATTATTTCTCCTTCCCTTCCTAGGACCACTGATATCCATCCTCATTATAATGATTGTTTAATACCTTTTAATTTTTTTCCAGGACGGAATCAATGAGACGACCTGACGGTCAGTGAACCAGAGTCTCTTAACCAAATATACTCAGGTCTTCTACTACTGCCTACCTGCCTGACCCCACACTTCAGACCAATGTTCCAGTGTTTTGAGGCTACCCTTCCTTTCCAATGTCCCTGTTCAGTAGGAAGTAGCTAAAGAAAGACCACTGTCCCAAAAGACTGGCATGGTAGTTCCCCAAAATGGCAGCAGTGCGTCCACACTCCCCAGAATGTCTGGTTAACAGGTTCCTCAACCAGAAAGACGAAGTCAAAGCTCAGCATTCTTCAGAAACCAGGTCCCCCCCAACGCCCCCTGCAGAAACCAGGTTTCATAAACCTCCCTCCTTATCAGGAAGCATCAGCTTCCTCATCCCCCAGTGGTCAAGCCCTAGGCAGGAGCATCATGAAAAGTTACCTTAGCCTGTAAATATCTATAAATCCCATTCTGCTTATTCCACTAACTGCTGTTCTCTGCTTCCTGAGAGGCAGCCCAATGGTCTGTTTGTTCTCAAATAAACTGCTGTTTCTATTCATGGGGTGGTCCAGTTCAGTGATCTTGTTGTGGACTTTCATTCATATGTACTTCCACAGTGCTGTATCCATAATTTTGCAAGATAAAATACCTCTGGAAATGGAATTATTTTGCTTTGTACTAGAACACTTTTGTTGAAACCATTCGACTCTACTCACTACTGGCTGTGTGAATGAGAATTCCTACCAAGCAGCTGTAACTACAAAGGCTGATCGACAGATTAGAACTTCAGTGATGTGATGAGGTTGGCAGGCTACAGGTCCAAAGCCAAACTGTCTTCTGCATCTTTAGCCCCCTTGACAGCCGTTAATTGTCCTCATCTATATGCATCCCAATAGCTTTGTGAACATTAGGCAAATCATTTGGAATGTACAAAAAGGCTTCTACTTCTGCCTGCCAAGAGGCTAAGAATGTCATCAGATAGCATCTTAGGCCTATATCTGAGATTCTCCCACTTTCTGTTAACCCACCTACCTAATGTTTCCACCAACATATTTAAAAAGCTTTTCTTTGTCCTGTTACTACAATATGTCACCGAAACATTACCAAGTTGGAACATGGTATTTGGGGAAAACCTGAGTCTGTGTTTCTGGGTCATAAGAACTCATGTTTGACTCCAGAACAAACCATCTCTTTTGCTCCTTTGGAGCTGTTTCTTTCATGGGCAGCTGCCCATTGTCTGTACAGCTCCTAAGGTGGGTATGTCACATAACCTGCTTTAGTATCACTAATCTGCTAGATTAAAGTGTGTTTCTCACAGTTAGCTAGGTTCATATCAATACAGGTATGCTCAAAGCATATCTTTATCCAACTCACAACAATTTTGAATTCTATATACCTCTGAGCCCAGAGTTTCTGATAAGAGATTATAAACAAGGAAAAAAATAATAGTGAGTGAAAACAAATGTATTACCTTCCAGTGTGTTTCTAAAGCTGAAATTGGCAGCTCTGTCCATGGAACCAGCTTCATACTGGGTCAAACTCAGGCAAAATTCCACATCGGCTGAGGAGGGCAGTCTTGGAGTTTTGGCTTTGTCCTGGTTTCCAGGATTTCGTAACAGTGGTCCCTCAGGTGTCCCATCACACAGAACCTGATGACTGTTATACTCATCCAATTGGCTACAAATAATCTGTGAAAAACACTTCATGTTAAGTAAATTATTGCCATCTTTGAGTCAAGGAGGAAAGGTAGAACTGTGGAAATAACTAATTACCATCTCCAGTTTTCTGATAACCAATAAATCAATACGTTAATTTGTTAAATGATTTAGTCACTGAAATTTGTTGCAGGACAAGAGATGGAAATATAAAACCAAGAGTAAGGTCCCAGTCTTACACCTAGCATTGAACAAAAACGAATAAGATTTTCCATGCCTTACATATCAAATTGTGTCCAAGGTAAGTACTTTCCATAAATGTTTGAGATACATTAATAAAGCAAATGTTTGTGAAACCTCTGTTATATGTTAAGCATCAAGTTAGGTACTGAATGTGGAATTACAAAGCAAAGAGTTATTTCCCTACATAAAATCCAAAGCACATCACAAAGCAATAACAAACATGCAACATAAATATTTAATAATGTTAATCAGAAATGCTAAGCACTGATGAAAATTCCACTTTATGATTTTTTTTGTCATAAATACCCTATTATTGTCTCTTTTGATGTACAGTGTAGCACTACCAGTAGGAACTTTATTTTATTAAATTTTTTTTCATTTTTTAAATTTTTTTATTTTATGTGTATGAGTGTTATGCCTGCAAGTATGTAAGTCCTGTGTCATGCAATGCTTGGAGAGGACAGAAGAGTGTGTCACATCCCCTGGAACTGTCGTTAAACACGACTGCTAGCCACCATGTGGATGTGGGGATTTGATCCTGGGTCTTCTGCAAGAACAGCCAGTGCTTTTAACCACTGAGCCATGTCTCCAGCCCCCAAATAGGGAACTTTTAAAGCACAGCAATTCCCCTGATTTAAAATTGCAACTTCACATTTTTGTAGAAAATTCTAATGAAGAATGTCACACATATTATCTCATCTAGTTTCTTGGCAATAGTGTTCATATTCATAAGAAAATGAAGGCTCAGAGAAGGTAAGTGATATTTTTAAAGTTAATGGCAGTGTTGTCATTAAAAACCAAGATTTTCAGGTACATCTTTACTGTACTTTGTACATTTATTTATTCATTTACTTTTATTTTGTGTATGCATATGTGTGTGGTGTGTGCATGTCTGTGTTATGTGTTTACATGTATGTAGGTGCATGTGAGGGTCATGTGCACAAGCACATGTGTCTGCCTGCATGTGAAGGCCAGAGGTTGACACAGGTATCTTCCTTGCTCAATCTCCATGAGGTAGAATTTCTCACTTGAATCCAGAGTTCATTGATTTGGCCAGTCTATTCCCCCCGCCCCCCAGCTTGTGTCAAGAATCTGTCTCTGCTTCTTCAACACTAGGATTACAGGTAGGCTAATGCCCTCAACTGACATTTAAGTGGATGTTGGTAATCTGAACTCCAATCCTCATACTTGCCTTGCAAATACTTTACCCACTGAGCTCTTTCCCATGTCCCACTATATGCATTTATAATTAATCCAGAAGAATTCAGCATTCAAACATGTTAAAGAACTTCTATGTTAAAATAAGAAGCAGTTTTCTAGTTCTGCATCTAATTTGTAACTTGCTGTAGATTTGAGATGCTTTAAATTTTGCATAAAATATGATGATAATCTGTCAAACTAGAAGGGGACAAGAAGATTAACTTTATTCATCACCTTTTTAAACACAAATCATATTATTTAGATAGAAAATGGCTAATTGGGAAATTTTTGCCAAGAACACTATCAATTGATGTTAAGTCAATGCTTACTAGGTGGTGAACACTGGAATAAATCATTAGTCCTGTGGCAGTCAAGGCTGTCTACTGTCTATATATCTTGGACCTTTTCTATTATGGATTAGCTTTTATAACCTAATAAAATCAATGTGATTAATAAGAAATAAGCAATAAGGTGAAAGTTGGTTTGTACTGAAATACTTCATACAGAAAAGTATTAGACGGGCTTGGGGGATGGCTCACTGTGAAAGAATGCTTGGTGTACAAACATGAGATCCTGAGTTTAAATCCCCAACACCTAAGTGAGAGTGTTATAGCTTTTGTGAGCCTGTAACCCACATCACTGTGGGGACCAAGGCAGAAGGATGACTGGGGCGTTGGAGCTGATAAGTAAGAAACTGTCAAAGGAACAAGGCAGAGAGTGATAGGGCGGGGCACCTCACACCTTCTCACTTCCACTGGTTTAGGAGTACAAACTTACAGGTTCACACGTGTGTGTGTGTGTCTATGCATGCATACATACTCATATCACACATATATACCACACACACACAAATAAATAAATATTTTTTTAATATAAGAGCTTTGATCAAATAGCTCATTAGAAATCTGCATTTGAATTAGGCAGTGTAACACTGTGGAATGAGAGTGGTTTATCTGAGCATAGGAAGCATTCATAAAATTAATTTTTGTTGTTATTGGGTAGAAAAAGAAGAAAAGGAAAGCTGAGTAAGGAATGTGTTAGAGTACTTTGTAAGACAGACTCAGAACTGACAAACTACTTGAGGTCACAGCAAAGAGGTATCTTCCCATTTTAGGAAATACAACTGTTGACAGCTCATGTTAAAATTAGGCACTTTCTGGACACAAATTAAACTAGTAAATCACAACAAGAATGAAAATGAATGTGCTAAAATGGTGGTCCAGGTACTTCCTTCATTTAACTCCAATTACCTCTTTGAAAGCCCTGTCTCAAAATGTAGTCACATTGGAGGTTACAACTTCAACAAATGAATTTGAAAGGCACATTCAGGTCATAGCACAATTTTGGGGAAAAGCCCCTATGTTAATTAAACCTCTGTCCACTATGATATGATACTGTCAGTCTGGGCAGGGAGACTATCTGCTTTACCCTGTACCGGCATGCCCTGAGGCTCACATCCACCTCTATCTACTCTCCTCTGTCAGGGATGGAAAATGACAGTGGAAAGTGATTATCTTCCTGTCAGGAGCTCCCAGAGTGTTGGGGTAGGTGGGGCTGGTACCACTGGACTGGGCATGACTGTCAACACTCTAGAAAGGTAAAGATAGTGTTCCAAGGAAAAAGAGAGACAGAAGGAGTGAAATCATATTGGGCTGAGGGCCTAAGTTCTATGGTATGCTTCCTGTCCCTCCTGGCTTCACTTTAAAACACTAATCTACAACTAAAATTATATTCTCAAAACAAAAATTAAAGGTTTATTAATCCTTAAATGCTAGGTCCACTTCTGAGTGTTGTGCTTGGCTCTGTTTGCCTGTGAATGTGGTCTTGGTCCAGAACTTTGTCTATGCCTTCATTTCTTATCTTTCTATTTCTCTTTTTTTAAATTTATTTATTTATTTTAATTAAAAGAAGCATTTCATTACAGCAACATTAACCTATTCAATAACATTTTTCTGAGCTAGGGTACATCTCTTTCGTCCACTTCTGAGTGTTGTGCTTGGCTCTGTTTGCCTGTGAATGTGGTCTTGGTCCAGAACTTTGTCTATGCCTTCATTTCTTATCTTTCTATTTCTCTTTTTTTAAATTTATTTATTTATTTTAATTAAAAGAAGCATTTCATTACAGCAACATTAACCTATTCAATAACATTTTTCTGAGCTAGGGTACATCTCTTTCAAAATTGGCTGTACATTTCTAGGTTTACAGATGAATTATTACGCTTATATAATCTTTTACTCATTATAAACTCTATAA